ACAGTGCTTCAGGAACTCAAACCAGTCAGATTACAGTGCTTCAGGAAACCTTGCCTCGATGTTGCAGCCTCCTTGGTCCACGAGCCACTGCAGCTCCCGGTTGTTCCCAGTAGCTGCTGCATCGTGTGCTGGTGAGGCCCCGTTCAAGGCTCGAGACTCCGCTGACAGACCCAGGTCTCTAACTAGGAGCTGCAGGCAGTCCAGCTGTCCACATCTGGCTGCATAGTGCACCGGGCCTGCCCCCTGAGCATCACTAATGTCAGAGGGGAGAGAACCGGAAGACGCCAGATCCCTCAGAGCAGCGAGGTCCCCTTCTCGAGCCGCCTGGATGGCCCGATGAGGAACCATCTTTGTGCCTGCTGTAAGGGGGCTATGGCAGAGCAAGCCCTCCGGAGCCCTTCACCCCCCCCTGAGATACCATCTCACATGCACAAACCTCAATACAACAGCCCCTCCATGTTCTCCTCACCGCTTCCCAAGCCAGGAAAGTGACACCCCCACTGCAGCCAGCTGGCCAGCATGGCTGTCAGGGGGGGGGGGGGGGGGGGGGGGGGGGTCAGAGCCAGCAGCACAGAAAGGTAATGAAAGACAGGTGTGCAGCGCTCGTGGCCTCCTGCTCCGTGCTTGTGTGGCGGTGACCATATGTTGGCATCAGAAGACAGCTGCAGGGGCATGGAAACTTCAGTAACGGGAGAAGTCAGGAGCCAAGGCACGGTGGAACACAATGAGGATATTTTTCAGGACTATTTTAAAAATTAATCACAGAAGGGATGATTAACATGCAATATAATAATCTTCATGAATATAACATGTTTTTTATATTCTAACGGTCGTACGCGTCGCCCCATCTTCATTCAGCTAATAAGCATCTCACATGGCCATGAGGATCGGTCCAAGTTCTCCTGCTTTATTATTTAAATTAAACACCTCATAGATTAAAAAGCTCAAGTAATGTAAAAAGTAACAAACAGTGCGTGGCAGTTCATCCTTATTTAAATGTACAAAGAGTGAAAGGCAGCCATCAGTTCTTTAGTTCCAGTAGCTGCACGGTGTCCCTCAGGTCCTCCACAACTGCGTCCACATCTTCTTTGGACGTCCCCCTGCCCACGCTCAACCTCAAGGCGTTAGCCGCCACTGCAGACGCCACGCCACAGCTCAGGAGGACATGGGAAGGCCTGGTGGACGCACAGTGCAGCACATAGGAGGTTACTGTAAACCAGAGTGTGGATACAAGCAGAACAGGTGAAAAGAGTAAGCGTCCTACCTGTTTCCACTGGCAGTGTGACAGGCGGCACCGACGCTGGCTAACAGCCTCCTACATCTGGACAGAACCCTCCAACCTGCAGCAGGAGAGAAATACAGCGGAGCTTCAAAGTTTGTGAGCTCTTTATAATTTTCTATATTTCTGTATAAATATGATTTAAAACATCAGATTTTCACACAAGTCCTAAAAGTAGATAAAGAGAACCCAGTTAAACAAACAAGACAAAATATAATACTTGTTCATTTATTTACTGAGTAAAATGATCCAATATTACATATCTGTGATGGTAAAAGTATGTGAACCTCTAGGATTATCAGTTAGTTTGAAGGTGAAATTAGAGTCAGGTGTTTTCAATCAGTGGATGATGATCAGGTGTGAGTGGACACCCTGTGTGATTTAAAGAACAGGATCTATCAAAGTCTGATCTTCACAACATGTTTGTGGAAGTGGATCATGGAGGAACAAAGGAGATTTCTGAGGAGCTCAGAAAAAGAGTTGTTGATGCTCATCAGGCTGGAAGATGTTACAAAACATCTGTAAAGAGTTTGGACTCCATCAATCCACAGTCAGACAGATTGTGAACAAATGGAGGAAATTCAGGACCATTGTTCTCCTCCCCAGGAGTGGAGGACCAACAAAGATCACTCCAAGAACAAGGTGTGTAATAGTCAGCGAGGTCACAAAGGAGCCCAGGGTAACTTCTAACACCTGAAGGTCTCTCACATTGACTGATGTTGATGTTCATGAGTCCACCATCAGGAGAACTGAACAACAATGGTTCATGACAGGCTGAAGGAGGAAGACACTGCTCTCCAACAAGAACATGGCTGCTCTTCTGCAGTTTGATAAAGATCACGTGGACAAACCAGAAGACTGTTGGAAGAATGATTTGTGGACAAATGAGACCAAAATAGAACTTTTTGGTTTAAATGAAAAGAGTTCTGTTTGGAGAAAAGAAAACTCTGCATTCCTGCAGAAGAACCTGATCCCATCGGTGAAACATGGTGGTGGTAGTATCATGGTTTGGGTCTGTTTTGCTGCATCTGGGCCAGGACTTCTTGTCATCATTGATGGAACAATGAATTCTGAATTATATCAGAGTATTCTGAAGGAAAATGTCAGAACATCTGTCCATGAAGTGAATCTGAAGAGAAGGTGGGTCATGCAGCAACACAATGACCCTCAGCACACAAGTGGTTCTACCAAAGAATGTTCAAGAAGAATAAAGTTCATGTTGTGGAATGACCAAGTCAAAGTCCTGACCTTAATCTCATCCAGATGTTGTGGAAGGACCTGAAGCAGAAGTTAATGTGAGGAAACCACCAACATCCAGAGTTGAAGCTGTTCTGTACAGAGGAATGAACTAAAGTTCCTCCAAGGTGATCAGGACTGATCAACAGATACCAGAAATGTTTAGTTGTAGTTATTACTGCACGGGGGGTCACACCAGGTACTGAGAGCAAAGGTTCACATACTTTTACCATCACAAATATGTAATATTGGATCATTTTCCTCAGTAAATAAATGAACAAGTATAATATTTTTGTCTCATTTGTTTAACTGGATTCTCTTCATCTACTTTTAGGACTTGTGTGAAAATCTGATGATGTTTTAAGTCAAATTTATGTAGAAATATAGAAAATTATAACGAGTTCATGAACTTTCAAGTACCACTGTAAAACATTAAGAGGTGTTGGTGTTTAGAAATAAAACAAGGCCGGCACTGATTTAGGGTTAAAGGAGAAAAACAGGCGTACGGAGAGAGACGAGGGAGTCACCTTGTAGTGCTGGTCCCAGGATGGACACGTTACTGGTGTTAGGAAGGACAGCAGAGTCGGGGTAATGGCTGTTGAAGTGGATCTTATCTTTAAACACACTCTGCAAAACAAACACATGACACGACTGCATGAAGAGACAGAATCAGTTTTAAAGCCACAGAATAAAAACATGTAAAATGACTGAAATTCTTCTAATATTTATCTGAATCTATTTTTGAGTGAATGTTGGACTGGATGAGCTTTTTCTACTTAGTAACTTTTACATTCTTTCTTACGACAAAGCAAAGAGCCTCTCAGGAGTCATTTTGAGCCACGAGCCTACAAACAAGCCTTAATGTTGGCAGTAAATCATTTTCAAGAGAGAGTCCAGATTTTCTGAAATGGGGATGTGTAGAGTTGTTTTAGTAGTCAGTATCCTACATGCAGTAGACTGCAGTCTGCGTGATCTCAGTTCATTTTTTTTTCTACTTAAAGAAAGCATACCTACCAATGTCTTATTTCTTTAATATGTTTTTTTAAATAAGTACTTTTCTAAACATTTGTTGTCAAACTAGAGACAAGCAGGCTGATTTTGAGTCAACAGTTGCTGAGTTCTCCATTTTTATATCAAATCCTGCTCACAACTCACCACTGACCTGTTTGAAATAAACATTTTTTAACTCATTAAAGACCAAACTCTAACTCATCCCAGCTGTTGGTGGAATCTGCTGCAGGCCTGAAATGCAAAACTGAACAAATCCAACAAAACAAAATATGAAATAACCTTATTTTCTTTACCACGTAGAATTAAAACATATGAAACAGTCGCAGTAATTATTACGCAGTTTTCCATGCTCAGATATTTGGCCTTGATTTGGAGCTGTAGCTACATGTGACTACAAAATTAATGTTTTTATGACTGAAGTTACAAACATACCTGCAGCTGTTCTTCCAGATACTCTTTAACATTTTCCATATGACTCTGATAATGTGGCAGATTAGAGGTCACCAGTTCTGCAGCCTAACACACACACACACACACACACACACACATCAACATGACAAAATAAAAGAACGTTACAGGCTTAACGTCTGAACTGATATAAAATGTTTGCTGATAGTCAAAGTAGAAAGTAGAAACAAGTAGAAACAAGTACTTCAAAGTAGAACTCTACATTATATACAAACTTCAGGAACACGAACCTTTCCTAGACCAGCAATCATGGGTGTGTTTTCTGTTCTGTAGCATTGAGGAGAAAAAACAAACCCTCCTTTTTAGATCAGACAATTTAATTGTTTTAGTTGCACTTTTTGAAGAAAACTTTTTAGTTCACCCTGGTCTGAAGTTCCTCTCCTGTCCTCCTCCAAACAGCATCGGATACAGAGGGGTTTCCGTTCCGGGGCCATTCACAAACAAAGCACCAATTCGAGGGCCATAAAACTGTGGTGGGAGAAACTGTGTCAGTAATATTTTTATGGTATTGTAAAACAATCTTGACAGGCTGTGGGGTGAACTCCTCACCTTGTGTCCTACTATAGTGAGGAAGTCCACTCCTAGTTCCTGGACGTCCACGTGGATTTTGCCGAGAGCCTGAGCAGCGTCCGTGTGGAGCAGGATCCTGAGGCGCTCCTGCTGCTTGTTCAGCATCTTTACTTTCTGGCAGATCTCTTGAACCGGCTGAGAAGAAGAACTTTCAGCAATGATGGAATCAATTTCATCAGATCACAATTAAATCCATCACTTATTACAACTATAAAAAAAAAATTGTGTTTGGTGAACAAAGATCCTGCTGCCAAGCTTTCCACCTCTTTTCCTTCTTACCATAATGACGCCCGTCTCATTGTTAGCCAGCATGACAGAAATGAGACAAGTGTTGGGATGCACCGCAGCCATGACATCTTCCACGTCTACACGAGCTGTCACTTTAGACACGGACACAAAGGTTACATCTGTGACAGAAGAAGGAAAGCTGCTACTTTATCAGAGTTTTTACAGGATAACAATACGATGTTTGTTAAAAAATATAAAAAACTGCTCCCCTACCTGCCTTGCCATCCATCTGCAGGCGCTCTGCTGCGAGTTTGATGGAGTCATGCTCCACATTAGAGGTGATGATGTGAGGTAGACCACTGCTTCCATTTAGATGGTCTTCGCCTGCAGCCCTGCACGTCTTTCTGAAGTGCTCCAACGCCGTGTGCAGCACCAGATTATTGGCCTGCAACATTATATATTTGCCATGAAAGCATAGCTGTGTTGAAACGACTATCTTAAACCCCAGTTTACTCAGAATGGCTGAATGCTTTAGTCTTTAAGTACCAGATTAGAGCAGTTGTTACCTCCGTTCCACCTGATGTAAAAACAATGTCCTCTGCTTTTCCTCCAACCATTCTTGCCACATTCTGTCTGGACTGATTGATAATATCTTTGGCCATGGCACCTGCGAACAAATGATTTATATAAAGTGTCGCTTACGTGAAATGCATTATCGCTTAACTAATACTAGTAAAACCTGAATATTTTGACATAAAACCTTAATTACCTGCTACATAGTTACTACTCGGGTTTCCCCAGGCGTCTCGGAGAGCTTCAGAAACAGCCTGAATCACCTCCGGCTCCAAAGGAGTAGTAGCATTATAATCCATGTAGATCCTGTTATACCAAGAATGTTCTCAACCCAACTAATGTCTTCTGCTCAACTCTTTACAATAATATT